ATGAAAGATTCTAATAGAAAAATTTTAATGAATTTTAAGTAATTATTTATGCTGCTTTAAGCGGACTGCAATACGCAATTTTAGCATGCATCAAAGCAGTGTAACAGTTTGGACGCATTGAATCACCTGAGGATGGCCATCTGTGGCCATATACAATATACAATTTCTTTATTAAAACCATCACAACACAACTATATTAAGGCACTGATCTTAATATAGTTGTGTTGTGATGGTTTTAATAAAGAAATTGTATTTTAATGATTGTTGCATTATTGACGGACCTGATACATAGACGTTTAATTAAAGATGTGCAACAGGATGCTGAAATACAGAATTCTATGACCGCTGAAGTGACTAGACTGCCGTTGTACCAGAAGCTACTGTACTGAGCGCAGACTGACAGAGGCCTTGTATATACTGTATATACAAACATTTGGTAAGAAGATGTAAGTAATTGTACGTATTGACAATTGACTAATATTGCTCACTGCGATTCTGACAAAGGGTGCCCCACATGGACAGGACAGTAACTTTCAAATGTGAAGAAACATCTGGTCATGATCCCCAGACAGGGCTCAACACCAAAACAGACAGACAGACTGTCAGTTGCCATGTGACTTTGACTAAATATTGCACCGAATTCTCCTCCTATATTCCTTACCCTGAAGATGATGACTGTAGTGTACACCAAAATGTTGGAAGAACTTTGACCTATGACGCAGCTAAACCCTTCAAATCAAAATTACATGGTAGAAAGAGGCCAGGAAAATCCAAGGACAAGAATAGTCAGATAGATGTTTAGGGGAAATAGTGAATGGTAAAAGCAGGCACAGAAATCAGAATTTAATTTTTAATTCACGTTCCATTTTTGTTCACTACAGTTATTCAGCACATGTATACCTTCTTACAAGTACACACTGTAATTAGACTAAAAATGTCAAACACATTCCTCCCAGACATATTCATTTCTGTTACTTGTTAGTCTTTTCCAATCAATTCAGTCTGTTTTGCTTCATATATCTTCTCCCCCTGAGATATATACTGGTCACCAAGAGCAGTAACCTGAAATAATTTTATAAATAAGTTAACAAGTAGTGGACAGTGTAAATCTTCTCTTGTAAGTTGTAGTAAGAGACTTATAACCAGGGCCTAGATTTTGATGACCTGAAAATATTTAAAAAATGACCTACAAAATCCAGAAAAATTACCTATAAAATAACCTAAAGGAGAGAAAAAAAAGAACACTTCGCTTCCATGTTATTCACATTTCAGAAAATATGTGAAGAAAAATTCTCTAAAATGGCCAAAAATGACCTCAAACCTAAAAATGTCAAAAAATGACAAAAAATTACCTATAAAATGTACATTTCTGTAACCAGCAGCTCATATCCGAGATTTATATATTTAAGAGCATCGCATAGGATACAAGGAAAACAAGATGACATGTCATCAAAATCCGGGCCCTGCTTATAACAGTTACAGGTACCTACAGTGAAATCCCTGTGAGGGAATAGCTTTTCATACACTAAGTTGAGTTTTTCACTGAATGTGTTATGGAAAATTAAATGAGAAAAATTGTTGGCTTCTAATAAGATCTACTGTAGACAATTATAATAAAATAATATCTTCATATAAGTACTTAAGGAAACTTTCCACACAAATACCATTAATCAGTAGTATGAAAATAACTTCTAAAATAAATGACATAAAATAAACACCGAAAAGACGTCACGGTGCAGCTGTGATGCCAAGGCAGTGTAGCTTCAGCATGTGACATTACCAATAGTTATATGATTTCTGGTAAAGAGGAAATGAGAATATTGATTGTAGTTTGAACCACATAGCATTAAACTGAGGTACAAGTTATGGAAGGCTTCAAATTTCTTACACAAGATAAATACAGTGTTCAGACTCGGCTTTGGCTGGGACCATAATAAATACTAATATGGGAACACGGACTGAATAGAAAACTGTCATTATCTTTGCGGATTTGTCCTCAGGTAGAACAAAGAAAACAAAAACAAATGCTTTCAGTCAGAATAATTGGTCTTCAGAGTAAAGCTGAGTCTTCCTCTGTTTCAGCTGCTTGAAATGCCTGAAGTTCTGAAGTCCTTAGCATCACATTGTTATTCTTTGTAGTCCTGATTAGAATAAGCTGAAGTAAATTAAATGATAACCAACCTGTTCCTGTATATTATATGCTAAATCTTGTGAGATAGTGGTATTGTTTTTTACGGTTTTCACATATTTGTTCTGTACTTCTCTTACTGAATCTCTGCATTTTATAAAGAGTGCTTTTGCATTTTTAGCAAGATTCTCCCTGTGTTCTTTAGTAACTCTGAAATAGACAACAGTAACAGGACAGTAATTATGACACATCGATATGAACAAGCAACTATATTTCACATTAGTGTGTGTGAGAAAAACGAGAATGAAAAGTACTGTTTCCCAAAATAGTGTACTGTACATTTCAGCGGATAATCTGGATCAGTACTAGTACGTCCATTTTGTAATGTTTGCTGCATTTCTTGCAGTTTTTAAAAGTGACATGGGCAACATGCATTGCTAAAGAACAGGAAATTACTTTATTCTTGAAGTTATTTGTTTCAGAAAATGCCATAATGTTAAGAAAAATTAATCATATTTCTGAATGTAACGTTTTTTGATTTAATTCTTCTAAAGAGGAATGGAATTAACAAAGCACAAATTATATTTTGATTCAACATCGGCTGGTTTCATTAGTGGTTAGGAAATGTACAGTATTTGTTTTTATGTTATGTGAATATGACGATTTATCAGTGGAAAAAATTAAGCAGTATTAAAGGTGTTGCTCAATGAATGCAGTATGTAATATGTTCACTGTTCAAAGGATGACATAAACTGTATAAAATGACACTGTCCAGTGTGATTGATTTATGAAAGTTGTATTTCAATATTTCATTTCCTTAACAAGTTTTGTTCAGGTTGACCATCTTCAGAAGGACACAATCACCATTTAGGAAAAAACAACACAAAGTGCTCTGCACAACAGGACCACAAAACTAAAGGCACTGAAACTACGTCATGATAAACAATCTTCTTCCTTTAATGAGAAGATATTTCAAGATACAAACCATTGGTTCTATTTTTAACAAAACGTTTTTATTACTTTACCATTAAATACTTGACTGTGTAAATAATTTAGTTATAACAACTTACAAAATGTTCCAGCCACTTCATGTACTTAATGTAATTACAAGGTATAACTTTTATATATTAATGACATTGTAATAGTGGTTTCCTAAATGTTGATCATGTGCTTCTGAAGATGGCCAACCCAACCTAAACATCTTAAGTAAAATGAAACACTGAAATACAACTTTCATAAATCAATCGCACTGGCTGATGCTAAGATTCATTTTATACTATTGCTAATGTGACGGACCAAGATGAAGCAAAGCAAATGACGTAAATTTATGCTGAAATATGAAGGTTTCTTCCTTTAAGTAACAATTTACAGGGTGTGTATGGCAAACATATTAAATAAAAATGTCCTTATGTAATGCTAAAGATTATATTTAACACAATGTCAGTAGGGTTAGCTACAACTGACTTGTAGTTACTTTCTCAGATGCCATAAACTGCAAATGAAACCTCATATTTGCACATTAACAGAGATGCTTTCCCATTCTAAGTTTCAGGAGAGAATAACTCGTTAAGTTTGAGTGGAACTGTTGACATTAAGGAGTTACTTTTGAATTTTAACAGCACTATTTATAATAAAAGAATGTGGATTTAGAGCCGGGATAGTGTAGTCGGTATAGCGACTGGCTATGGGCTGGATGGCCAAGGGTTGGGGTTTGAGTCCTGTTGGGGGCAAGAATTTTCACTTCTCCATGTCATCTAGACTGGCTCTGGGGTCCACCCAAACTCCTATTCAATGGGTACTGAGGGCTCTTTCCCTGGGGGTAAAGCGGCAGGGATGTGAAGCTAACCACTCACCTCCAACTAGTGCCAAGGTCAAGAAAATGTGGATCTATACATCCACATTCATATGCCTTTATGGCATAGTGCTTAATTAGTTAAGCACAGGGACAACTTTACCTTTTTTTACCTCTTTACTATTTATAATAATAATAACAACGATAACATTAAGAGTACCAATTTTTTAAAAATATATTTCTTGTTCCAAAAAGGTAGCATGTGCTAACTCACTTTGGAATTGGTATGAACAGAGTGGTACCATCCTGCTGCGGATTTATATTCATGCCACTCTTGCCTATAGACTGAAGAGCTGCAGGGATTGCCTGAGGGAATGATGTCATGTTGACAACAATCGTCTTGGGATTTTTACGTACTATCTGTGCCAGTTCTTGTAATTCATATTCTTTCCCATCAAGACTTACTCGGAGTGTCTCAATCGAACCTGTAATTTGGGGGGGGAAAAAAATACAAAATTAATTACATAAATACGTATGAACAGACAAACTGGCATGGGAACCAGACTAAAATGGTTCTCAGGAGGTTCATGTACATAGCAAATACAACTGGTCTTCTGGGTTATGACATCATGTATGCCAGTGTTTCAGCGAAATCTTCAGGGTGTGGTCTATGCAATGCAGAAAATCACAATGTAAACCTTCAATGCTGTAAAAGCCTTAGATCTTGTATAGATAGACATAAAAGTGGTTAACAGATGACATACCAACTCATTCAGGCCCTCAATGAGAAAATAACAATTGTTCAGACAGTTGCCTTCTATGGAGCCCAAAGATTCATCATTGTGGTAACAAGAGCCTGCCACTGGCCCTATCCTGAATCGCACAGTACTTTGATATCCATTTTAATGTTATCCTCCCATCAGGTTTTCCATCTGATTTTATTTTTTTATTATTTATTATTTAGTATTTATTTTATTATTATTATTATTATTTATTTTACCTTCAGACAGCACTACAAGGAATATGTTTTCTAGCATGTCTGTGATTCATTATATAAAATTTTAATAAGATCTAAAAGTTTGTGACAATAGTCCATTAATACATATATTATGTTTTTGGACACTATCCATTGTCTTGTCTTTATCTAAAATCTTCCTGTTTATTTTTCAAGACACAGCGTTTCGGAGACTGGGTTCTGTCTCTGTCTTCAGGTAAAAGCTACTCAGTTTGGCCCAATCGACAGAGCTAGTGCCTATCTCCAGACACCTATACCAGCCCCAAGAAGGGGTATACAAGCCAAGCACAGCGCAAACCATCTGCTAGAGCTGTGTTTGATCTATGTACCCCTTTTTGAAGCTGGCTCAGGTGTCCAGAGACAGGGACTAGCTCTACTGATTGGGCCCAACTGAGTAGGTTTTACCTGAAGACAGACAGAGACAGAATCCAGCCTCCAAAATGTTGTGTTTTGAAAAATAAACAGGACATATTTGATTTCTTTCATTCTGGTCCATCACACTAAAAATTACAAAGACAAAACAACTCCGTCCAGTGTGACTATTTAAGATTTACTACTTGAAAACTTAGTGCCCTTACATGTTTTGATCCTTATGGATTATCTTCAGAGGGAACATCAATACTTATTTGGAAATTACTATCATAATAGGTGTTCTGAGTGCTAAATTACATACACACACAATGTTGGAATACAGAATATACACAAAATCCAATTTTTTCACAATCACAGCAGCTTTCCTGGTATTAAAGTTTTTAAACTTTGTTGTTTAAATTAATATGTTGCTGGACATTATCCATCATCTTGTCTGTTCTTAAAAAACCGTCTAGTTTCTATTAAAATCACAATGTTTCGGGAACTAGAATCTGTCCCCGTCTTCAGGTAAAACCTACTCAGTTGGGTCCAATAGACAGAGCTAGCCCCTATCTCCGGACAACTATGCCAGTTTCAGAAGGGGTTCATAAA